GGGGGGGAACCGGCCCAGTCGACCGGCCGGTAGGACCGGTCCGGTTCCGGTTGGGGGAGGACCCCCCGGTCCTACCAGGTTTTCAGCACTGTATAAAACCCTATTTGGAGTAGCTTTTGGAGTTCGCCAAAATTTTCTCTGAATTCGGTGTTTTTGCCAACCTTTTTGTTATTGGTCCAAATACATCGATCCTGAATACATGCAAATATACCCTAAATCCCTTATGTTATGTATCACCCAAAAAAAGAGCAAAAATTCAGGGGAAAATGGCAGTTTCAGTGAAAAATGACACCACCTATTAACGATTAGTGGGTCCTCAGTGGGTTAACGACCATCCGCTCCCCCACCTCTATCATCAACTAGACCTTCTCTGGGCTATTCTACTCTTAATGTGTTCTCCATGCAGAAGAAGACCACCCTCACCCCCTGAGACAGCCTCGGGGGCAGGTTCCCCAACGATATCCTCCACTAGAGCCTATCCCACCTCTACCCCTACCAACGGGACTCCTAAGACATCCCCTACTGCAGGTTCCCCACCGATACCCTCCAATGGAGTCTTGTCCTACCTACCCTTTCCCGCCACCGGAGTCCTGGATTGAATCGCACCCGTACGTAGCCCATGCCCCCCCACAAAGCAGAGCCCTAAGGTAACCAATTCTACATGACCAATCTCCCACAACCCTGTCTGCATCGCCACAATTTTTTGACCCTTTCTTCGTTTTTATAAATTTTATCATATCGAACCCCGCAATCACCCGGACAACCCCATGGACTGAGAACGGCGGGCAAACCTTTCATAGCCTAGACCCAGAATACAACAATGACGGACTAAACCTTTTGGGTGGTGCGCAGGCAGTGCCTGTAATCCTTTCCATGCGTCAGGCCAAGGGGGGTGTGCAAATGGCTGTGCGTTATGTAAATGTCCACCCCTTATCTTTCAACGAACTTTTCGTAATAGGTCACCGTCCCCATGAATGACCACACATCTGTACCTATTGTTGGTTCTTGGACAGTCTGTGAGTGGGTCCACTTTCCTGGCCTCGGGCCGCATCCCATCAGCAGCAACATGTCCAAAGTAGAGAACTTGTTCCTGGCCAACCATTCTCGTACTTGCCTTGCCTCAACTCCTCATACACCAGCCTTGCACTCTTTTCAACAGATCGTCAATCCTAGGCAGTCGCTCCACGTGCTTGATCATAGTATTACTATTCAAGCCGCAGTAATCAATGCCCAGTTGAATCCCTCCGCCCTTCTTTGGGACAATCAGAATCGGAGCACCTTACGAAGGGTTCCTAGCATGGCTACGCCGGACCCGGACCCGGACATTTCCAGACATGGAACCGGACCCGTGTCCGGTAGTTTCCAGATGTCTGGAATTCCGGACATTTCCGGACCACAGGGCATGGGGGATCCGGACGGTCCGGATGTCTGGACAGGTCCGGAAATGTCCGGACCATTAAAAAAAAAAAAAAAAAAATCTGAAAAAAAGTATGCTATGCCGAATAACAATGCAAGCCACTTTTGCCTCAGAGTCATGTCAGAATTCCTGACCAAACTATGAAAAAGCTTTAAAAAAGACTTTAAAACATAGTTGCGGCGCATGTAGGTGCGCTGTTTTGCACACGTTTTGCGCACGTAGCG